AGTCATCTTGGAAAATGCTAGTGTATCCACCGCCCTTAAAGAGGCCCGAGGCAACCTCTGGCACGAACCATGGGAAGGCCCCCAGCAAAGACAACTGTTGAACTATCTTAATCCAACACTTTCCAAGCTTGTTCCACCATAGAATCCACCATCCCTTTTTAAAAAATATACGAACCAACTCCCTGTACCCCTCTGAATCACACTGCTCTGCTTTTGGGGACCTGTCTTCTCCAGGTTCCAAGTTTCCAAAGAGCCCTCTGACACCCAGACAAAGGGATCAGTATGCTGCTTTAAAATAAAGTTTGAAAGCTTCTTATGTACAAAGTGAGAAGGAGAAACAGAAGAGGGAGAGATTTTTTGCAGGTAGGGAACAGGAATGTTAAGAGCTTCACCACACAAGCATCTGCATTTTTAAAACTACTCACAGTGCTGGGAAGAAGAAAGGGAAAAAAACAAAAAAAAGAGAAAGCAGTGTGGCAGTATAGAATAAGAGAATCCCGGGTTTGCATTCAGGTGCTGCCGTGAAGCTGGGTGCTTTTGGGTGAGTTGTGAAACCTCTCCGTACCGCAGTTCGCTCAGCGGAAAAATGGACCTAATAAGTAAATTGTACAGGACTGTTTGGAGGGTAAAAATATAAAAATGCTCATCAAACACCAAGCACAGAGCAAAGGGAGACCAAAGGGTGATCCCCTCACCAGATAAAGGAGGGGATGGGTGAGAGAGTGGAGGGTGAGGAGTGGGGACAAGCCAACAGCGACCCCACAGACCTCAAGTCATACCAAGCCAGGCCATCTTTTCTGCGTAAGTGGAGGCGAACAGAAACGGGACTTGGGACAGAGAAACAGAGCCCCACCGGAGGGGCAGAGGACAGGGGAAGCCAGCTTGTGTCACATGGAGTGAGCCCAGGCCCGCCTCCCCCATGGAACAAGCCTCACTGAATGAGTTGCTTCGCCTTCAGCTTTTGCTGTGCTGTGACTTTAATCGACCTCTACGTTTTGCAGCCTTACAAGGCTTTATTTCCCTGTCTCCATTTATTATTGAAACTAGGAGCTATTCTCCCAGAGTGTAATCAAATCCTGCTAAGAGGTAAAAAACTCCAACATTCATTCACATCTTATACCAGAAGAAAAGAAAAATAATGAGAAGAGAGTCCTAAAAATACTTATGGCCAAAAAAAAGAAAATGGAAAAAATTCAACCCTTAATCCCAAACTCCTTCTCCTTCAAATGAGTGACTTAGCTTAACAGTATACACAGTAACACAGGCTGACGATCCAAATGGCCAGCTCTTCCCAATGTAAAAACCTGAAATCCGAACGCTGCAAAGAGCATCTCCTCTCAGCAACATGTCAGCACTCAAAAAGCTTTCGATTTTGGTGCATTTAAGATTTTGGATTTTTAGATTAGAGATGGTCAACTTGTAACATAATGCAAATATTCCAAAATCCAAATGTGCACGGATTTCTCCCACAAACAAGCAATCGATCGATTCTGTAGCAGTGGTCCCCAACCTTTTTGGCACCAGGGACTGATTTCATGGAAAACATTCTTCCACAGATTGGGGTTTCAGGATGATTCAAGTGCATTACATTTATTGTGTACTTTATTTCTATTATTATTATTACATTGTAATATATAATGAAATAATTATACAACTCACCATAGTGTAGAATCAGTGGGAGCCCTGAGCTTATTTTCCTACAACTAGTGTCTAGCCTAATTGTTACCTGCCACTCGCTGATAGGGTTTCAATATGAGTCTGCAAGCAATTGATTTATTATTGTCTCTGTGCAGTCAAACCTCTCTGCCTATGATAATGTGTATTTGCAGCCGCTCCCCAGCGCTAGCATCACCGCCTCAGCTCCACCCCAGATCATCAGGCGTTAGATGCTCATAAGGAGCTGCAACCTAGATCCCCGCATGTGCGGTTTACAGTAGGGTTTGCACTCCTGTGAGAATCTAATGCCACTGCTGATCTGACAGGAGGTGGAGCTCAAATGGTGATGCAAGGAATCAGAAGTGGCTGTAAATACAGGCGAAGCTTCACATCACTCACCTCCTGCTGTGCAGCCTGGTCCCTAACAGGCCACAGACAGGTACCGGTCTATGGCCTGGGGACTGCAGACCGCAGCTGTAGCAGGTGTCCTCTAATTCAATCCCAACACCATCTACCTGGAGACGGCATCAGATCCCACAGGGTGAGGGCTCAGTCTTACAAGACCACCCTCAACTTGTGATGTCAATGAATGAAAAGCCCCAGGTTGTTTTACCCGTGCTTTTACCTGTGCTTCTGGCCAGACAGCTATAAATGGGGGATCTCATGACCCCATCTCCTTGGGTTCAATTATTTGCTAAAGCAGCTCACAGAACTCAGGGAAACATTGACTTAGGTTTTCTGGTCTGCTACAAAGGTAAGGACACAAATGAAGAGATGCATAGGCCAAGGTATGAGAAGGGGCGTGGAGCTTTCATGCCCTCTCCAGGCATTTCACCTTCCAGAAACCTCCATATGTTCACTAGAAGTTCCCCAAACCCCATCCTTTCGGGCCTTTTATGGGGACTTCACTGGATAGGCATGTCTGAAACGTGGACAGCCATGTAGAAGGGTGATTGGACAAAAAGGGCATGACTTAATACTAATAGACTGAGTGGGGAAACCCAGCAAGGCCCGTCTGTTCAGATCCTTCCTGGCCTCTGTGTGCAGCGCCCTTCCTCTAGGGCATGCAGCAAGACCCTCCCTGAAATGGGGCTCTTACGACCTACAGTCAGACAAGGTAGGTCAGATAATTTCTTCATGAAAAAGGAGGGAACGGTTAGAGTCCTGCCTTGGGGAGAAAAAAGGAGCAAATGAAAGAGGAACAGGAAAAGGTCAGGGGGCGGCTGTTTTCTGAGGTCCGCCTCGGAGCCCTAAAGCGCCCGACACTGTAATAAGAGGCTGGAGCAAGGGCTGTGGGAGGTACGAGCCGGGAGCCAGGGAGGAAAACCTATGCATTATGATACCACAGCAGGGATGTAACCGTGCTAGCAGGGACTCTCGCCCACTGACAGAGGGTCGTAAATAGGCACCTTTACTTTATAATGTGGCAAAACTCAGTAAAGTTTAAGACGGCACACACTAAAACCCGGCAATTTCACACGTAAGCACTGACCTTAAGGAAACGCTTCTGTAATGGACCTCGGCAGTGATCGCAGATGGCTGTTAATATCACAAAAAGAGAGACGGCAGACACTGTGGGTCTCCTGATAGAAAACGCCACCCAAAGAACAGAGTCCCATCATCGGCAACATTAAACCTGAATCCGAGTCCCTAGGTCCAGATGCCAATTTAAGGAAATAGAAGAAATGATGGAGCACATCAAATAACTCTACAGAGATACAATCTACAAAATTCAAGTGGTAGAAAAACTTTATAAGCCAAACCCTGTGTCTTCAATAAATAAAGTATAAGAAAAATAGAGAGATGAGGGAGGACTCTACAGATGAAAAGAAATATAAGATAGAAGAGTCAAATTCATGGAGACAAAGTATTAATAGAACAGTGGTTTCCAAGGGAGGGAGGGCTGGGCAGTTAGCATTTAACAGGGACAGAGTTCCAGTCGGGGAAGGTGAACAAGTTCTGCAGATGGATGGTCGCCATGGTTGCACAACACGTGAATGGACTTCATGCCACGGAACTTAAAGACGGTTAAAATGGTCTAAATATATGTGTTATATATATTTTACCATAGTTTTTTGGGTTTAAAGAAGAAGAAACATAGAGACACTTCAGCCAGCTATAATGTGTGGATCTCACGGATCCTCAATCAAAAACCTATAAAAAGTTATGGGACAATTAGAAATTTGAACACTGATATTTGATGATAGAAAGGGATTACTGGTAATTGGGGTGATAATGATATTGTATTTATGTTTTCTTATTTTTAGAGATAAATACTAAGATGTCTATAGATGAAATAACATACAGGATTTGGTTCAAATGATACAGAAAGAAGGAGAAAGCAGCTATCGGTAAATTGAAACAAGATTGGTGCCGAGTGGTTCAACTTGACAATGGATCCATAAGAGCATATTATACTTACTTGCCTAACCTTTGGGCACTTAACATTTTACATAATAATTAAGTCTTAAAATGAAGAAGTTACTATACTCATGCACAAAAGGACAAGTGTTATATGTTCGCAACATTATGGCTTATAATAGCAAAATACTAGAAACATCTTAAATGGCTACAAACACAAGAACGAATGGAAAATATTGTGGTATGTCGTTCAACAGAGAACTACAGAGGCAAGAAAGTGAGTGAACTTGATCAGTGGATCTCGACCAGGCATGATTTCACCTAATTCTGAAAACCCTTGGACATTTGGCAATGTCTGGAAACATTTGTGGTTGTCTTCTCTGGAAGGGGTGTGTAAGGCAGCTGGCCTCTAGTGGGTAGAAAGCGGGGATGTTGCTAAACATCCCATAATGCTCAGAACAACCCCTACAACAAAGAATTACACAACCCAAAATACCAACAGGGCCGTGGCTGAAAAACCCTATACTATCTATGTGGGATACTCCTCAAACCGTAACATTGAATCAAAAACAAAAACAAGTGGCAAACAGATATGTACAAGTAATGTCATGCAGGTAAAAGTTATGTATGCAAAACCAAGCCTGTTTACTGCTCATATAATTTAACTACACAGTGAAATATGAAAATATGGAGGGGGAGACTACGTGCCAATTTCAGAATATGGATTACTAGAGGGAGAACCATGACATGTCACTTTGGCAGAATTTGTAACATTTTGTTTCTTCCAGCCCCTCCCACCTCGAAGAAAGCAAATGTGGTGGAGGTTAATGTAGGTAAATCTGGTCATCGGGGACAAGGATGCTCTCTACACCCTGGACCTCACTAACAATCACCCAGCTAAGCAGCGGGGCCGTGGGCAGCGGAGGCTGCATGGGCAGGGAGGAGCCAGTGGCAAGGCTGAGGCCTTCCTGCAGGACACTTACCGGGCCCCGGAGGTCGATGAGCTCCTGCCTCATCTGGGACACGAGGGCTTCCTTGGCCACCAGGGCCCTGTGCAGGCGCTCGTTGAACTCAATCAGCTCGCCGTGCATCTCCGCCACCTGGAACACAAGGACCACAGCGTGAGGGGTGGAGGCAGACCCGCCCCACTGACTTGTCCAGCCTTGCCCGGCCCCTCCCTCCTGCCGCGTGTCAGCAAGGCCTGGGCAGGTTGCTGGAGTCAGAGCTCACAACACTGCTTACCATGCAAATCCATCCACACGTTGAATTCGTTTTGACTTGCTTGGTTTTAAGATTCCAGAGTCAACAAGCCACAGTGGTGTATGGTCAGAATAGGAGTGTATCAGATCATTTTTGGACCTTAGGCTTTGAATCTTAAGGAACACTTTTCTAGAAAAGGCTTTCTTTCTGATCGAGTTGTGCCTGTCAAGAATTTCCCTGCTAATGGCATCATGAAAATAACTCTGACCATTCTGTTCATCAGATCCTTGGTCCTGAAAAACCAAGAAAACGGAACCAGAGCCTTATGAAGGCTAGTGACAATGGTGACAGACAAAACTGCAGCATCGCAACTATCCTTCACTGTTCATTCTATTTCAGGATAAACGCTTCCCATGCCCTCTGCATAGCTGCATCGCACTAGTTCTCTGAGGCAGATGTTATTACAACCACTTTACAGAAAGAAAAACAGTGTATTAGAGTTTAAGGAGCTTGCTCAGGGTTATACCACTAACAGAGCACAGACCCTGGAGCCCGGCTGCGTGCTATGATCCTGCCATTCCGCTGTGCCCAGATGCAACCCATTCAGGCCTACTGTGAGCCGCTGGATTTTCCCAAATTGAATTATGCAATAATCTCAGCTGATCCTGAATAAATTTTAAACATGGACATGGCTACAAGTAGTCTATAACCAGCATACAGACTATTCAATTATAATTTATTTAAACAATTTAGGGAAATGTGAGATCTGCTATGTCCTCCAAGAACCCTGAATGAAGATTCTTGTAAGCATCTTAAAGAGAAGCCCCCAGAACGTGAGGTCGCGCAGACCCTCACCTTGCCTAACCCTCTCTGTCCTTCCCAAGCCATCGCCCTATAGTCTATACCCAAGACTTCACATCAGCATTACTACACAGTTTGCAGTGCACATTTTGCATGACGTGTACAGACACTGTCAGAACAGAGAAGGGCTAGAGGGAGAAGCTTTGTGGAAGAGAGCGGTCTCTAAGCTGCGTCTCAGGCAGAGTAAGAGGGAGCCCTCCTCTCTTGGTATATAAACAGTAAGTCACAGAAGGAAATACACCACAATATTAACACTAGTTCAGGGGTATGTTTCCTTCCCATTCTTTCCACTTGTCCTTATTGAAGTTCCCATTCATCAGTGAGATAAACCACTCAGACTCTTTAAAGAATTAAAATTCCTCACTTGAAATAAAAAGGCAGCATTGTGCAATCAACACGAAGTGATTAGGCGCCTCATTGTCATCGGGATGCTGCCATTAGCGGGCTCTGTGAGTTCCCACTCAAACAGGAACCCCTGGCCCAGAGGTGCTGACCTCTTTCAAACCAGTGCGAAATACTAAGTGAAAACGGCACAAAAGACACTGTAAGAACTATGCAATTAAGAAAGGGAGAATAAGTCACCATGCCTTTTCACCAGCTTTTTTCTTTGTACAGACCTAAAATTAATATTCCCCAGTTGCCTTATTCCTTTTGGATAAGAAAAGCTTAAATTGATCTTCTTTTGGCCTTTAACAAACAAATGCAGTATCACTAATAATGCCCACACTGAATCCTCCTAGCAGAAACCAACACAAACCCTCCGTCAGCTTCCTCGGGCTGTAAACCCACTCACCGCACAGCAAGCAGGAAATACAGGGCTGCCAATATTGCTGCTAAATGCCTGCTAATGTGCCCCCAACAAAATGCAAGCTTTAAATAAATGCCACTGTCATTTCCAAAGCAAAGCAGGGTTTTGTGTTTTGTTTTTGTTTTGCAGTGGCAGCCAGAGTGCTACAGCAGTTTTCCATAAATGCATAAAACATGGAAAAATCCCAGCTTCAACTGGTGTTTATCATGAGCTGTCAAAACCCTGGTTCTCTTCTGTGGCCAGAAGAGCAGGACTTGACCACCTGAGACAAACTTTTCATTTCACTAAGGAATGGAAAAAACATCTGGTAGAACTGAGGAGATAAAATTTGATAAGAATTCCCAGCTACCATTAAAACCACGATGTTCATTGTTACCAAGCTAACCTCTGAAACTGAGTTTTTATATTACACATCCCTACCTACAGCCATCGATATAAATGGCTTTCATCTTGCATAAACCCTACTGAGCTTACTGTTCCTTGAATAACTATTTTCAAACTTCAGTATAACTAGAAATAAATTCAAGACTCAGAAAGAGCCTCAGAAGAGGAATGTGAGATCACAAACAGTTCCCATTATCATAAAAATAACAATAGGCTGCACAACCACTGCCTCTTAGAATTTTTATGAGGCTCTGAGGGTACTCACAGGTCTCATCTGACCTCCTTACTCTCAACAGCCGCAGAGAATCACAGGGAACGGGCTCTGGAGAGAATGGCTGCCTTTCACTCCACTGCCCCCAAGCAGGCAGAGGTGATCTTCTCAAAGTAACGTCTGATATTGCCACCTGCTGTTTAGTGCCTTCCATGCTTCTACTGCCCTAGGGATAAAATCCAAACTCCTTCGAGATGTGGGCCAGCCTCTCTCCCCAAACCCATCTCTCCCACGCATTGTCTCACTGGTGTCACTCAGCCCCCACAGGCTTCTCTGTCCCATGAACACATCGACATCTAGGATGTCTCCTGTAGACAAAGAGGAGGGTGGCACGTCCAGCAGGAAAACCGCAGGTGCAAAGGCTGGCACCTGAGCTTGGTTGGGATGGTTTGAGACAGCTGGTTAAGGCCTTGGGCTTTGGTGCCAGATAGGCCTGGGCTTGATCAGTCACTGACAGTGCGCTCCGGTGCAAGCCCGAGGCTGTTCAGCTACAAAATGGGGATTAAAAACCACAACCACCTCACCGGGTCACTGTGTGATGACAAGAGAGGCTGCACTTACGTTCGGCAGCATGTCTGGGGCAGTGAGTGCTCAGTGAGCGAGAGCTGGTTTTGTGTGGTGGTGGCACAGAAGGAGACACAAGGGAAGCTGTGCATAGGGAGCCTCCGGAGGCCAGCGGAAAAGGGCCTCAACGTGCTGCACCAACGCACCTGGACTTCTGTGGGGAGACACTGTCCCCAAAGTGAGCACATCACAGTTGCTAACCATCTGCCACGTGCTAGGTTCCAGGGTAGGGGAGGAGGGGGGGCGGGTGCAGAAGTCACACAGTTCAAATCCTTTGACACTTGGTAAATTATGATAGAACAGAGAGAGAAGATGGATGTCAGGGGAGAGCTCATCCGAGACACAACACTCAGGAGTCACTTATCCAATGGGCCCCAGCACAAGCGCGACAGCCTCTCACGGCAGATCCACACCCTAAATCCCTACTGGGCTTGCCATGTCCTCGTGCCATCACACTCAGAGCTAGCGTGACAGTCTCAAGTGTTTCTTTCCACCCTTAGTTGTTATGGTCCACGAAAATTAACCTGAAGGCACTTAAGGAAGAGGTGCCATTTGACAACACGAATGACAGTGACAAATCAAAACACAGTGACAAGAGATGATGTAGCCCCAAACTCACAGCTCACCGTGGACCTAAGGATCGGAAACAGGGCCCCAATTCTCTGAAAGGCACAAGGAGAATATCTGGCTAATAGAAGATGTGGTCCCTAAGTTGTGCTTGAAAGATGCACAACTTACCGGTAAGTAAGGTACAAAGGTATACGAGTCACCACTTGGGTTTCATCCTTTCGGCTGGAGGGAAGAAAGTAGAAATATTTAAGAAGTTTAGGTAACAAGGCCATTTGGCAACATTTATCTTTTTTTTTTTTTGAGACAGGGTCTGGTTCTATCACCCCACCTAGAGTGCAGTGCAGTCATCACAGCTCACAGCAACCTCAAACTCCTGTGCTCAAGTGACCCTCCCATCTCAGCCTCCCAAGTAAGCTAGGACTACAAGTGTGTGCCAGCATGGCTGACTAATTTTTCTATTTTTTGTAGAGATGGGGTCTCACTCTTGCTCAGGCTGGTCTCGAACACTTGACCTCAAGCGATCCTCCCACCTCTGCTTCCCAGAATGCTAGGATTATAGGTGTGAGCCACTGTGCTGGGAAAAAAAAATTTTTTTAAGAGATAAGGTCTCACTCTGTCACCCAGGAAGAAGTGCAGTGGTGTGATCATACCTCACAGTAGCCTTGAACTCCTGGGCTCAAGTGATTCTCCCCCCTCAGCCTTCCAAGTAGCTGTGACTACAGGTGTACCTCACAACACCTGGCTAATTTTTCTTTAAAGAGATGGGGGTGGTCTCACCTATTTCCCCACACTGGTGTCAAACTCCTGGCCTTACGCGATCCTCCTACCTCAGCCTGTCATCAAAGCACTGGAACTATAGGAATGATCCACCCTGCCCAGGCAAAATCTATCAAAATTTTATAATCATTCACCTTTGACTTGAAAAATCATTGCTGGGCAGTTATCCTGCTTCTCTATTTTCACATGTGTTCAAAATGCAAGTTTAGCTCCAAGTGACTGGAACCTACCTAGATGTCCAACCAAAGGGGACTGCTTAAATAACTCAGGATTCTGCTACTCTCCTACTGACTGTACCTGTGGCAGACAGCGCTAATCAATCACTGTGCGCCTTCCTCAAGACGACACTCAGGCGGCCATAACCAATCAATCAGTGTGTTGGGCTGCAAGAGGACACCTATTTGATAGCCCTAGCTATCAACTGGAGAAGGCATCATCAGGAAGGTGACATTTGAGTTGGGCTTTTGGAAAATGATGCTTTTGGAGCTTCAAAGACTGAGCAATTCCTTCCAGCTGGATTATCAGGGAAGATGATCTCCCAAAATAATGTGGCTGTGAGAAAGCTTTTAAGTCTGTGAAAATACCAGGAATTATCATAATTACCTGCCAAATCATGAAAGGATTATAAGTTTTTTAAAAAAGGCTCTGGCATTTCCTTTCACATC